ACAGTAGTTAGTGTACAGTAGTGTACAGTAGTTAGTGTACAGTAGTTAGTGTACAGAAGTGTACAGTAGTGTACAGTAGTTAGTGTACAGTAGTGTACAGTAGTTAGTGTACAGTAGTTAGTGTACAGTAGTGTACAGTAGTTAGTGTACAGTAGTTAGTGTACAGTAGTGTACAGTAGTTAGTGTACAGTAGTTAGTGTACAGTAGTGTACAGTAGTTAGTGTACAGTAGTTAGTGTACAGTAGTGTACAGTAGTTAGTGTACAGTAGTTAGTGTACAGTAGTTAGTGTACAGTAGTGTACAGTAGTTAGTGTACAGTAGTTAGTGTACAGTAGTGTACAGTAGTTAGTGTACAGTAATTAGAAGTGTACAGTAGTGTACAGTAGTTAGTGTACAGTAATTAGAAGTGTACAGTAGTGTACAGTAGTTAGTGTACAGTAGTTAGTGTACAGTAGTTAGTGTACAGTAGTTAGTAGTGGTGTACGGTAGTTAGTGTACAGTAGTTAGTGTACAGTAGTTAGTGTACAGTAATTAGTAGTGTACGGTAGTTAGTGTACAGTGTATAGTCGGGTGCTTGACACCATGGGCAGTAGCCAAAGGTGGCACCTTGGCGCTCTGACCCTGGTCTACCAAAGCTGGCTCTTGGGACCTGGAACGTCACCTCTCTGGTGGGGAAGGAGCCTGAGCTTGTGAGTGAGGTTGAGAGATACCAGCTAGATGTAATTGAGTTTTCACAACACACAGAATGGGCTCTGGAACCAATCTCCTCGAGAGGGTCTGGACTTTTTTCTACTCTGGAGATGCCCATGGTGAGAGGGGCCAAGCTGGTGTGGGTCTACTTTTGCCCCCGCGACTTGGTGCCTGTGTTGGAGTTTACCCCAGTAGATAAGAGGGTAGCTTCCCTGCACTTCTGGTTGGGGGGACAAGCTCTGACAGTCATTTGTGCTTGCGTGCCAAATGATTGCTCGTTGTACCCAGCCTTCTTGGAGTCCTGTGTATGTGTTGTATCATCAAGTCATGTGACAAACTGTGTTAGGTTCTGAGCAAACAAGCTCCTCCATCCATGAGAGATGTAAAACTAGCAGCAGTTTTCTATGGTTTGAGGGGGTTTTGACTGTAGTGTCTTGATGTTTTCAGTGTTTGTTGCTTCAGGTTGTGTTTGAGCTGAAAGTGTCTAACAGAAACCTGAGCAGATGACTCTGTGATATTTCTGTGACCAAATGTGATCAGCAGCCACTGAAGTCTTCAAATGTTTTGGCTGAAGCCCTGAGAAAAGAAATGTAGCTGACCTTATTTCTTCCCTGCAGGTCTAGTCCTGGAGTGACCTGTTGCTGTTCCTCTGCTGCAAACACAAATCCAACATGGCTGTCTCTGAAGCGGACCTGGAGGACTACAGTCTTTACAGTCACATGTCAGATGATGAGCTCTTACAGATTGCTGTGGAAAGAAGTCTCACTGACAAACACAATCACCCAGGATCATCATCAATGCTGTCTGCTCTGACTCCAGAACAGACACACGTGAGTCCAGATCAACCCAAACACCCTCTGCAAGTACCCCCGTTTCAATCCCAAGAACCAACACATGTCCCTAACTCTGCAAACCCTCCAACGGCCCTGTCCCAGTTCCTTTACAAGGCCTCCAACAGGTGAGTTTGTCCAGAGAGTATGGTTCAGGAGTAGGTCCAGGCCCAGCCAACACTGAAAAGCAACCAGCAACAAAATCTGTGCAAACGTAAATAATTTTAGCCCAAAAAGACCTTCCAATCAATCATCCATTCAGATTCTAACCTCAAACCTAAACCCAAACCTTTCTACTCTGCTGGTTCTGATCTCTGTGAGGAGAACACTAAGATTTATGAAGAAAGATTTTCACCAGTCTAATGGTCAACTAATGTAAATTTTAATCGACACTTAAATGATTTGTTTGATGTTAAATATCTTTTTCCACTCATAGATCTTGTCCAAAGTAGGAAATCCTTGGTTTGTAGAAACAAGGATCTGACTCCTCACTGTTCTGACTCAAGATTTTTGTGTGTTTTGTTGTGGTGCAGCGAGTGCAGCCCCCTCCTGTCCATCATCAAGAACGGAGACGCTGAAGCTCTGATGGATCTGGTCAGACAAAGGTCCAGCAGCCTGACTGAGCCCAACGATGAAGGCTGGATCGCTCTTCATGAAGCTGCTTATTATGGACAGCTGCAGTGTGTTCGGGTCCTGATCAGAGGTCCGTGCTGATGCTTCCGGTGATACGATGGTCGTAAAGCATTAACAGCAGAACCACATTTTTCTGAGACAGGGTCAAACATAAATCATGTGATGCTCTGACATCAGCTGAGTGGGTCTATATCCACAGAAACCAGGCTGAGCTATAAACTGCGAGGCTAAAAATGCTGAAGTTTACTGATTGTTGGAAGGTTTTGGGATTTGAACCAAGTTTGTAACAAATATATTGGTTTTGATACTGTATTGCCCATAAAACAGTCAACATTATTAGATATTTCTGACATGTGACCTTGATTGTGTGGCCTGACTGAACATTTGATCAGCTAACGGAGATGTTTCTGCCCCAGTTCTTTTTGGACTTGATTTGTTTTAAAGGGCCAATATTATGTGTTTCTCAGGCATACATTTAAATACTATACCATAATAAAGTATCTATGTCACCTTTAGCTCTTATTAAAATGCTGTTTTTATGTTTAAAAAGAAAATAAACTTATCTTCTCATCACTTCTTCTTCTAAATGCCTTGAAATTGGCCTCTGTCTCTTTAAGAACCACCTTCCGCTTCAGTTTTGCCCATTTCGGTGTGGGGTGGGGGGATGCACTCATGGGGAG